AGATAGATAGATAGATAGATCTATCGAACTACTGAAAGGATCCTTGCCTAAATCAGGCAGGATTGGGGTCTAAGATTTCTGTTCTAAAACATACAGACTAAACAGAGATTAATTGTAGCACATCTACGTGGCTAACAGCTGAGTGGCACTCGAATGACTCCAGCCTCAGCCTCCAAGACTCAAACCCTTCCTTTATCAGCCCCAAGAATTAATGCTGCACACTTTTTGAACAGAGCTAGCAGCTTCGGGGAGCTAGCCCCTAGAGGAATGGTGCTCATGCTGCAACATCAACTCTCATTAGAAAAAACCTTCCCCACCAAACCAACCCAGCGATGTCCCACAGCTGCTGCTCAGAGAGGGCTGGACAAAAAACGAGATTCCACTTCACACCACAAGAGAGAGATGTTGGGCCCTATTGGGAGACCACGGAGACCTTTTGAAGTCCTCCATGAAAAACAAGGACCCATGTCAGGATTGTCCACACAGTCCAGTGGCCAGGACTCTGACCTAGGACATGAGAAACCCGAGTCCCATTTCCTGCTATGCCTGATTTGGGTGCCCTGCATTCAGTCTCTCCAGCCTCATGGGTAGTGAATTAATTACACAACATGGGACCGCTCCAGCTGGAGAGATTTACCCCACAGGCTGGTGGTGACGATACATGGAATGTGGGAGACCCACATTCCAGGCCTTTGTCACACTGGCATGTGCCAATAAAAGAACATTTTGTAAAATTCCCAACCCAGTTTATTATGGGATTTAAATACCCAATCACTTTCATCCAGTTGTACTAGGTCATTTGAATACCCATTCACTTTCATTCAGTGGTACTAGGGGATTTGAATGCCCATTCACTTTCATCCAATAGTACTAGGGGATTTGAATACCTATTCACTTTAATCCAAATCCCTTTGAACCTCTCAGACATTTGGTGAGGTTTCAAAGAAGCCAAAGAGAGTTGGTTCCCAACTTCCATTGAAAGTGAGTGGAAGTTGGTTACCTAACTCCCTTAGGCCCATTTGAAAATCCCAGCTCTTGTCTTTGAGTTGATTTTCCATGAATTCTTTCCCTGCTTCATGGGAAGGTTTGGAACAATCTGACACTCTCCACTTCTCCTGCTGCATTTGAAGGTAACAAGTCCAGTGTTTTAAACTCAGGGTATCAGGATACTGATAACATCTATTGTCTCTATTGCCTAGTGGACTGTATTCATAGAATTCCCTGACTGGCGGCAGGGGGAGCAGCTAGAACCGGGGCTGAAGATAAAATAGGATTGTTTTTGCTGAAATAAAGAACTGAAAAACAATCAGGGCCGTCTCCAGCATTTCTGCCGCCCCAAGCAAAAAAAAATACCCACGATCTCAATCGCGACCGGCGGCGGCAATTGGGGGGGAAAAAAAAGAGCCGCGATCGGCGGCGGCAGTTCAGTGGCAGGTCCTTTGCTCCGAGAAGGCGAGAGGGACCTGCTGCCCCCGAATTGCTGCACGTGCTGCCCCTTTCCCTTGGCCGCCCCAAGCACCTGCTTGTTAAGCTGGTGCCTGGAGCCGGCCCTGAAAACAATTCATTTGGGGCTGAACGAAGGGATTTGTTCAACTTGAAATGAAACTTTTCTTCCATTTAGTTACACTTGGGTGGGGTGGGGGTTGTTCCTATTTATATTTTTAAAAACAAATCTAGCTAAATTTCCAAATGAATTGTCAGTTAGAGAAAAGAAATCGAAAGATTTCATTTAAAAAAATGCCCAAACGAACCATTTCCATTTTTTTTTCTATTTGGCAAAAATTATTCATCAAATTCATCCCCAAAATACAAAATAGTTTCAGTTGCCCCAAAGTGCATTTTTCAGTGAATGAACTATTCAAGTGAAAACTTCCTCCCAGCTCTAATTACTACCATATATTATTATAATTCTAACTTATTACAAACTTGCATTCACTTCCTGTGAATGTTAGTTGACACTTGCAGTTCTGTTCATGCCCATGATGCTCAGAGACCGTGATATCTCATAAACATATCTGGTTTTGGGTGCTTATGTTGTGAAATAAAAGTAAAATACAGCAGCGAAAGAAATTCCTATCTCTGCTTCTGTCAACACATGCCAGGAACCCAAAGTGGAAAGCTGGAATACAATAGGGACTGGCTGTGGTTTGTTATGGCTTCTTGGCATGTCAATAAAGCACAAGCGAGCTAGGAACCCAAAGTGTCCAAGAAAATTCCATGTGATCTGAAATAAATCCAAATTTGCAAAGGGGAGCTATAAAAGAAATTCATAGATTCATAGATTCCAACGCCAGAAAAAACAACTGTAACCATCTAGTCTGACCCCCTGTAGAGCACCGGCCAGAGAACTGCCCCCAAATAATTCCTAGAGCAGAGCTTTTAGAAAAAAACATCTCATCTTGATATAAAAATTATCAGTGATGGAGAATCAACCGTGACCCTTGGTAAATTGATCCAATGGTTAATTACTCACACCATTAACTATGTACGCCTTATTTCCAGTCTGAAATTGTCTAGCTTCACCTTCTAGCCATTGGATCGTGTTAGACCTTGCTCTGCTAGATTGGAGCCCATTATTAATATTTGTTCCCCAGGTAGATACTTGTAGACTGGGATCAAGACACCCCTTACCCTTCGCTTTCTCATTATCAAGCTAAATACATTGAGCTCCTTGAGTCTATCACTATGAGGAACATTTTCTAACCCTGTGATCATTCTCATGGCTTTTCTCTGCACCAGCTCCAGATCTGAGGGCTGGAGAAAATGTCTTCAGATGTCAATCCAGAAGATTGAGAGGTGACTTGATTTCAGGGTAAAAGCACCTTCCTGGGGAGAAAACATCAGGAAGTAAAGGTCTCTGGAATGGAGCAGAGAATGGAAGAACAAGAACCAATAGCTGGAAGTTGAAGCCAGACAGTCAAGTGAGAAATTAGGCATCACTGTATAACACTGTGCGTGATTAACCAAGGGAATCAATTCCCAAGGGAATTCTCTGTTGCTTGGTGTCTGCCTGTCCAGGCTGCAGACCCTTTTGGAAAATTTTAATCAAACACAAGTTATGTAGCTCAATAAAGGGGGAATGGGGGCCATTTAATGGCCAGTGCTACACAGGTCAGACAGGAGGCTCTATAGGTCCTCTCTGGCCATAAAACCTATGAAGCTCCAAGTCTGTTTACATGGGGTCCTGGAACGTAGCTGTGTGACTCCTAATCTGGATATAATGTTTGACTCCTGTTTGGTTTTGTCTTTTCCATCCCATCTGAAAGAGCAGTCAGGACATCAGGTCTTGGGATCTGTGTGGCATGGATTATCTGACATGAGCTTGAAACTACAAAGTGTAAATGGGATGAGAAGAAAGGGCAGGTTGGACAGGAGTCAGTCCGCATGTGCTGATTGCCCTGGCTTGGCTGCCTAAAGAACAGACCAGAAGATTCACTGGAGTTTTATTAATCCAACAAGAATATGAAGATAAAACAGCAACCACAGGAAGAAAAATGAATCTAGCATTGGTGAGACAAGACTAAGTGTCGTCTCTGACCACCGGGTTGGCCACCAAGAGGGCAATTGGAATGTGGGACAGGACACCCCCATTTGGCCAGGCGCAGCTGGTGACACAAAGCTGGAATACAATGGGGACTGGTTGTGGTTTGTTATGGCTTCTTGGCGTGCCAATTCAGCACAAGGGAGCAAGGAACACCATGGAACTGGGGGACCTAATTCTGGCCCATTGACTTGGGTGAAGTGATACAGATTTACAATAGCTGGGGCTCTGTCCCACTGACACCAGCATAGCAACGGCTGATTCACACAAACTACTGATTGGGTCCATTGACTCCAACAGAGCTATGGCCAATTCACACTAGCTGGGGGTCTCACACATTGACTCCAGTGGAGCTACGGCTGACTCCCACCAGTTGCATATCGGGTCCATTGACCCCAATGGAGCTACAGCCAATTCCCGCCAAATGGGGGTCTGGCCCATTGACCCCAGTGGTGCTATGGCTGATTTCCACCAGCTGGGGTCTGGCCGATAGACTATAAAGCCTGGAGAGAGCATTCGGCACATGCTCCCTGACCTCCGGTACATCCTAGGCCAGAGAACCTTCCCCTTGGCTCCTGCACTGAGCCCAGTTCCACGTGTTAAAACAATAACATTCATTTCCGGGATCTGACGTTAAGGAAGGACCAGAGACAAAGAGATGGAACTAGGAGAAGAAGTACTGGATCCAACCATAAGGTGTGAAACACCCCAGCTAAGTGAGTCAATGTTGCAGTCACAGCCAGGATTCTCCCCCCTGAATATTGCTATCGTCACAGGGATCGCGTCACACACCTAATGGGTCACTGATGTACAAGGGCCCAGTGCCAACCCTCCCCCTTCCCCAAAGTTACAGTCACAGGAACCTTGCAATAGGTCAACCCAGAGAGTCGTTACGGGCATTGGACAGGACAGACAATCAGCTGTTTGGGGCAGAAACCTTCTTTTAATTCTGTCTGTGCAGCACCCGGTACAATGGGGTTCCGGATCCATTACTCCGGTCACTGGGGCTACAGCCAGACCAATAATAAATAATTAATGATGAAATAATAATCGATTCTCAATGATCAACTGTCCATATTTATTAGTCCTTAAGTCCTTAGTCCTCTCTGGACTCTCAGCCATAGAGATGTTAAAAAATATGTCACCCAACCATTTTTCCAAGGAGCAAGGGTTTTTAACCAAATTAGGAATGTTTACAGGAAAATGTTATTTTTGCTGATAATTTCCAGTTTTCCATTGAAAACACAGAAACTGAACATTTTTCAATTTTTGGAAAAAATGCCTGTTTAAACAATTCTGTTTTCTAAAGCTGGCTTTTTTTTTTTTACAATGAAAGGTTTTTAAAACCAATCATTTTATCATTTTACTGGACATTTTTACCAAAACCAGAAACATTTTACCCAAAACGGTTTTTGAGGCTGAACATTTTTACCAAAACTGGATGTTTTACCAAAAACAAGATCTCTACAAAAAACTGTTTTTGAAAAACAATTTATGTGGGACAAGGGTTTTTGTTGTTGTTGAAAAAAACAATTAAGCAACCAACCTAACAAATAAAAGATTTGTGTGGCGTATTGTTTTTTACAGAACAAACCTCTTTTTCATTCTATTTTCTTTATTTCCTATGGAAACAATGGCATTTTCAACCAGGTCTGAGGTTAGCAAAGTAGTTGTACAACATGAGATGACATCCATAAACTCCTTTGCGAATATCTTGGATTGAGGTTTCCCCACGTATAAATTACAGCAGCTGATACAGGAACAAGAAGGAGTGTATGTCATTAATGTGAGTTATCCGTTCCTCCTTCCAATGGGAAAACAACTCCTCAGAAACTGTTGACTTTTTGTCAAAACATTGAAAATCGACTTATTTTTATTTTTGGAGGTTTTCAGAAAAGATAAACCAAACTATTTTCTCCCAAATCCAAAAGTGTTACACCTAATACTGCCGAAAACTGAAAAATGTTCAGACAAAAGAAAAAACTTTCAACTTTGCCAGATACAATCACAATCCCTAGTGTACGCACACCCAGAGTCCTTCCCTCAACTGGGCATGGAACCCAGAATTCCTGATTCCCAGTACCCATTGCAAATGCTACCCACTCGATGCCACTCCTCTCCCACAGCTGGGGATGGAACCCAGGAGTCCAGACTCCCAAACCTGTGCACTGTCCATTAGAAGACAATACCTGCCTAGCTCCTAGCCAGGGCTTTTTGGAGCGCCCCTTTCACATCTTTGTTCCTCAGGCTGTAGATGATGGGGTTGAGCATGGGGATGATGATGCCATAGAGCACAGGCAGTGCCCGGTCCTGCTCCTGCGAGTAGGTGGAGTTGGGACGGAGGTAGGTGAAGAGGATGGTGCCAAAGTAGAGGCTGACCACGGTCAGGTGGGAGGCGCAGGTGGAGAAGGCCTTGAGGCGCCCTTCCCTCGTGCGGATCCTGAGGATGGCCAGTGCGATGTACACATAGGACACCAGGGTCCCCAGCAAGGAGCTGAAGACGATAGCACCTCCCACAACAATGGTGACAGCCTGGTTGGTCCGAGTGTCAGAACAGGAGAGCTGGAAGAGCGGGGGGATGTCGCAGAAGAAGTGATGGAGGACATTGCCCCGGCAGAAGGACAGGATGGACATCAGGGATGAATGCACAGCCGAGTTGGTCAAGCCCATGGCCCAGGCGGCTGCAGCCAGCAGGGCACACATCCGCCGGCTCATGAACATGCCGTAGTGTAGCGGGTGACAGATGGCCACGTAGCGGTCATAGGCCATGACCCCCAGTATCAGGCATTCGATCCCCCCAAAGGAGATGAAGAAGAACATCTGGGAGAGGCAACTGGCCCATGAGATGGACTTGTCCCGCGACAGGTAATTGGCCAGCATCTTGGGCACGGTGGAGCTGGTGTAGCCGATGTCCACCACGGAGAGGTTTCCCAGGAAGAAGTACATGGGCGAGTGGAGCCGGGAGTCCAGGCTGACCAGCAGTAAGATGAGCACATTGCCCAGCAGGGCCACCAGGTAGATGGCTGTGAAGACCCCAAAGAGGACGAGCTCCTCCGCTGGGTTGCTGGAGAAACCGAGGAGGATGAATTCGGTCACTGAGGTGTTGTTCTCCCTCCCCATCGGCTCCCCTGCAGGCAAAGGAAGGGCAGTGGTGTGAGAGTTGGGTCCAGACATTTACCCTCCTTGTGAGCGGAACTGTAAAGAGTGAGGGAAAATCCCTGTGCCATCACAGCAACCTACACTAACAGCAGTTGGTGGGAAAGGGAGACAGAGATGGAATTAGCTTCAACAAAAGGAACTCCTGGTGTCCCTCAAGGTCCTGTGACAAGCTCATGTCTGGGAAACGAGAGGGGCATGGGGCCGGAAATCAGTGAACCAAAACTGAGTGTTGGAAGCTAGGCCTAACTGGGGGACAAATCTGTGGGGGAGGGGCCGTTCCACCCACTGCTCCCTTTGGGGCCCTTCACGACAGAGACGCTGGGGGGAAATGAGGAAGTGCAGATGGGGGCTACTGGAGTCAAATTCACTATCGGGGCTGCCCCCCACCATCCCTGGGACCCCGGGTCTTCGTCATCCTGATCCTGAGACATGTCCTGGCCAGCCCGGGCCAGAGAGAGGGACCAAGATGACATCATCACCCCCTGCATGCTCCAGAGAACCCCAAACACCACCCAGGATTAAATGGGATCGACTTTAACAACAGCAGCCCCGACAACAGCAGCTCCAGCCTGCCCCAGCTCACTTCTCTTCCCCTCCCCCCAACATGCGAGGTTCGTTATCACCATCTCAGATACCGTCTCAGAGACTGGCAGACGGGGGCGTTTCCTTCCCAAACTGTCCCGGTGCCAGGGAAAGGGAATTACAGGTGTTGTGCAAACAACAGCCGAATTAAATGCTTCACGGTTCAAAGGCTCCTCTCAGTAATATCTAAAAATCCTCCTGAATTCAGTGGGGATACATTGATGTAACTATGAGGAGAAGTTGGCTTCTCGTCGTGTGCACACCCCCATGCCATGTAGCTGAAATACAGTCCCCAATTCTCCTTACTATTGCTGCCACCAAAATGTTGGATTATTTTAATAACAGAGTTATAACTATACCCCTCCTTTCCTGTGGTGTTAATAGAAGGTTAAGGGCTGTTTCGTGGTGTGTTTGCGGTGGCACTGAGCGGGGGGAGGTCTCTGGGTCCCATTCCCTGTGGCTAGTTCTGGACGGGGACTGGGCTCTGTTAGCACCTTGGCCCATTTACTCCATCTACATTCACACAACAGGAGCCACCAGCCAGGGAGCTGGCTAGGCCTTAGGAGACCCAGCCTGCGTTCCCAGCGCTGCCACAGAGTGACTCAGGGCCAGACCTGCAGAGATGTTTAAAGGCCAGATTGCAAAGGCATTTGGGCATCTAATGGGATTTTCAAACTACCTAGATGTCTGCACCATTGAAAGCAAAAGGAGTTAGGCACCTAGATGCGTTTGAAAATCTCACCAGGCACCGAAACACTATAACAATCCTGGCCTCCCGTTCCCAGTTAGGACTGGTAAAAAAAAAAAAAGGCAAAGCTTTTTTCCGTGAACATAAATGTCATTTTGTCCAAAGCAAACAGATTCCTGGCCCTGGAAAGGTTCCAACAAAAACTGTCACTGGGAATGTTTCTCTGCTCCCTTGTTAATACTAGTCATAATCTGAGTCAGTAACACTGCATCCTAAGTAAGGCACATGTTATTCAAAACCATCTGGTTCAGTGTCTCAATACCAATACTAAATCCTGACACAGCAATATTTCATAAATTGGTTACCATGCATTCAGTAGGTTACCTGGAAAACAGCATCTGTAAGAAACAACTGGATCTATGTCAGCTACTGGTGTATCCCAGAGCAATGCAACCAATGGAACAGAGAAGCTAGACATTCCTGCTTCCTGCCCAGCGAAGTTTACCCCAGAGGGTGACAACCAGGAGCCAGGATTACCTATAACATGGGTGGACAGTACTATGTAGTAACTAATCACAAGAAATTTATATATAAAGGCCTCATTTATAATGTCACTACTCCAAATTTCTGTTTTACTTCTCATATACATAGCACTGTGGGACACACTGTATTAATGCCTATCCCAGTATTTCAAAACACTCAGCCTACTCCTAATGATGATACAGGTGATAACTGTAATTGCCTAGTAGGAGTGTATTGCTATCTGCATCACCAAAGTAAAAGGGCCAGACTAAACACCAGATTGGAAAAATAATTTATGTTTGGATATAAGGTGGTGTCATATGTACACATACATACTATGCATACATACCCATATGTACCACACATAAGAACAGCCATACTGGGTCAGAACAATGGTCCATCTAGCCCAGTATCTGTCTTCCAACAGTAGCCAATTCCAGGTGCACCAGAGGGAATGAACTGAACAGGTAATCATCAAGTGATCCATCCCCTGCCTCTAGCTTCTAGCAAACTAAGGCCAGGAATGCCATCCCTGCCCATCCTGGCTAATAGCAATTGATGGACCTATCCTCCATGAACTTATCTAGTTCTTTTTTGAACCCTGTTATAGCTTGGCCTTCACAACATCCTCTGGCAAAGAGTTCCACAGGTTGACTGTGCGTTGTGTGAAGAAATACTTCCTTTTGTTTGTTTTAAACCTGCTGCCTATTAATTTCATTTGGTGACCCCTAGTTCTTGTGTTATGAAAAGGAGTAAATAACACTTCCTTATTTACTTTCCCCACACTAGTCATGATTTTATAGACCTCTATCACATCCCCCCTTAGTCATCTCTTTTCCACGCTGAAAAGTCCCAGTCTTATTAAACTCTCCTCATATGGAAGCTGTATTTATATACATATATATGCCATATCCATACTATCCATATATATTCATTATTTGGGTGCCCCCAAGGCTCACTCATAAAACCCCACTCCTCAGTCATGATCCGGGGACCTAACATTCCCAGGCCCACCATAAGAAACTAAAAACAATTGAAAAATAAAATCTGTCCATCAGTCATAAAAGGAAATGTAAAAACTAAGGGACAGATGAAGCATAAATGTATAGATGGTAAAGAGTGTTTACCTTACAGCAAGCACAGGAACAGAATAAAACATTGGAAACAGCTGAAAAAATCTGCAAAAAGACATGTGCCATCCCGTTATAAATATTGGTGGTCAATAGCAGGCTTCTGGTAGCTCCCCTGTGCCTGAAGAATGGGGACAGAGTGGAAAAAGGCGGCCCTAGCAAAATTAAAAAAATGAGACCGGGGCTGCTGCAGTGCAAACACAACTGTACGATAAAAAACAGGTTCTGGTTAAACTTAAACAGAGATCTAGACTGGTGCCTGTCAGAACGGGACAAGTAAGTGCCCAGTAGGGAGAAGTAGCAAACTATACAGTCACTGGAAAAAATGAAACAGATCACAGATCACATTAGGAGACAGAAGCTGTGACTCGATCTCAGGGAAGTGAATAAAAAAGGATTTCAAAGTGAAAACCCAAAATGGAGCGGATTAACACCTAGAACTGATGCATCCACTTGGCTTGCAGACAAAAGCAACAAACACTGGAGGAAAAAATTCAGGTAATGACCCCAACTCTCCTCTCAAAGCCAGGATAAAAACCAGGGGTGCGGGTTCCCAACTGCTTTAACCCATGGAGCCACACACTCCTCGCTCAGAGATTAAAATAGAACCTTCTTTCTCAAATATTTTTACCTACCAGTTAAGTTTTCTTTTATATCCTTTCTCAGTTTGCTAAACTGGCTGCTGCTGCCAGTACTTTAAGATCCCTTGATAGAGTTAATCTCTCTTGGCTCAGGTCTCCCTACCTTCCTAGGTTGCTCTTCACCCTCGCCCCCCTTTCTCCTGCCTCTCTGCTCTCTCTCGCTCTCTTTGTTTTAAAAGTTAAAAGTTATAGTTTTTACAGCGGGCGGGGTCACCAGTGTTGTCAGTTGTTGGCTCCATGTGTATGTTTTTTCTGCGTGCGGCACTGCTCACAAAACCCACAAAACTTGGGTTAGTAGCGAAGGCACCCGGCCTGCTTTATTGCCGACAAAGCACGGTAATAGCACCCGGCAGACTCTATGAGGATACTAAGACATGTAGCCTGTGACAATAGACGCAGCTCAGTGAGCGGCGGGACTTTTCACTGTCCCCTAGGCTGGCTAAAGACACTGCCTGTGAGACCCCTCGTTATTCACCGACACAAACAAGTTACGTATTGCCTCTCTGACATAGCTAGTTACTGCCCCTTTGACGTGGTTAGTTTCCACCCTTTACCTTGTACATGGTGGGTCGATCAAAACATTTTTATTCATTATGCTCCCATCCTGCCCTTATCGCTAAGAGAGGGTCAGTGTACTCCTGGATCAGTGTTTGTACCCATACTTGGTACCAGGGTGTTCTGCTACCACCCTTCTGGACTGCGCTTGCGTGAGTGTCCTGTGCCTAGCACTTCTTAGGAATGTGTGTGTTTCTGCAATACCAGCCCTGCTCTTGCCAGGTTCTGTGAGCCTGTGTAACCCACACACCTCCTGGGTGTGGTGTTCTGCCCCAACTGGCACTGAGTCCACTTAGAGAGAGAGAGAGAAAACGAGTCTGCTCTCCAGGACCGGCTCTAGGCATCAGCAAAGCAAGCACGTGCTTGGGGCAGCACAACTCTCGGAGCTTGGGGCGGCAAATGTTTTGCTTGGGGCCGCAAAAAACCTAGAGCCGGCCCTGCTGCTCTCCAGCCTTAGCTAACAACCAGGTGGCTTTTAGCTCATGCACTAAGCTCCCAGGTTCGATCACTGACTTCTGCTCTCAGCCTGTCTCTTGCTGACTTTGCTTTATATTAGCAGGGCGTGACCCACTACTTTAATTCATGCCTCAGGCCTGATACAAGGCCTCATGTCTCAGGCTTTCTTTCTGCTACACCTGGGATGCTTGATTCCCAGCCCCCCTACTCTAACCTACGAAATCCCATTCCCCTCCCACAGCTATGGGGAGAACCCAAGAGTCCTTGTTCTTATTCCTGCCCCCCTCCCCTGCTCTAACGCACTAGCATCTAGTGATTAGAGCAGGGGGTCTGGGAGCCAGGACTCCTGGTTTCTCTCTAAGCTCTGGGAGGGGAGGTGTGACAAGGACCAGTCGCTCCCTCGCTCCTCCTCAAGGATTCAGTGGCACTGGAAGTGCTGTGCCGGGACGGAGCCTGAGGCTGGAATAACACCGGCCGTGAGCCCTGGGCTGCCCCCACCCACAGCTCTGCCGGTGCCCCTCAGTCCTGACTGGCAGCCCCAGCTGATCCGGCATGGCAGCTGGTGTGAAACTGGCTCCATGGACACATTGTGTAACCAGCTGGGACAGGAGGTCGCTGGGTGACTGCAGTGTCTGGACCCCGGGTCTGTTCTGGTGCAGCAGAGAGCTGGGGGATACTGGACTAGCGGGATGAGTGGGCTGAATGACTCAGGGGTTAGATGTGAGGGGAAAGGGTGGGAGAGGAAGCCTGATTGACCTCGGGGTGTGATGGGAGGGGCAGGGAATACCAGGATAGAGGGGTTGATG